TGGTGGCATGGTACACCTGAGAGGAAGAGGGCTCAGCATAGCCTGGGGCTGTTTGGGTTGGGGAGATGCATTGGCTGCTTTTCCTGTTGTTGTGACCAAACACCTCACCAAAGCCACTTAAGGAAGGAAGTATTTATTCTGGCTTACAGTTCAAGGATGCAGTCCATCATGGTGGGGAAGGCATTGCAGCAGAGGCATGAGGCAGCTGGTCACAATGCATCCCCAGTCAGGAGCAGAGAGAGAGCAATGCTGGTGTGTAGCTTGCTTTCTCCTTTCTTTTCGGCCCATGACTCCTGCCCATGGGTAGTGTCGCCATATATAGGGTGTGTCTTTCCCACCTCAATTAACCCAGTCTGGAGACTCCATTGTAGACCTGCTAGAGGTTTGTCTCCTAGGCAGTTCTAGGTCCAATCAAGTTGACGACATTAACCGTCACAGGAGGTGAGGTGTGTTGGCATGCCCATTCAGAAACAACAGAAGCTGAAGCCTGTGTCCCAACATTAGGACTGGCAAGATGGCTTAGTGGGTAAAGGTGCTCACTGCCAAACTTGATGACCTGAGTTTGATCCCTGGAACCCACACGATGGAAGGAGAGAATCACCTCCTGTATATTGTCCTTTTGTCCTTTTTACTTCCAAGCATGCTGAGACCTGTACCCCCTTCCCCAGTAAATAAATAAATGTGATCTAAAAAATTGCAAGAAAATGTAGCCAGTCTCTCAGAGCCAACAGAATGGACATCAAGCCTGTTGTTCTACTCACCTTCCTTTGCTTTTTAAATGTTTTTTAAACACAACAGCACCTAGAGCTTGCTCTGGAATCCACCTCTGGTTGGTGCTGGCTAGTTTACCCTCACTCTCTGGAAAAAAAAAAAATCAGCAGCGACAGAAGGTGGCCATGACTTTGATCAAGAGGGGAAAGGTTCAGATGAGATCTGCCCCCAGCAATTCCTTTGAATAGATTTAATGGCTGATGATTTTTTACTCAGACCTGGGCTGGTTATGTTTTGAGCTGACAACCCAGGACAGCATTACATTCTCAGAAGCAATGGCTTCTTGTGAGCGACAGGCACAGGGTCCTTCCTGTAGGCTGGTGTCTTTCTTTGGGTTCAGAAGAGCCCATTATCTCTCCAAGTTTTGCTTTTGCCCCTCCCCCATGTCTCCTTATGTTGCCAGACTGACCCAGGCAATCCTGTGTTGGCCTCCTCAGTGCCTGGGGCTAAAGGCATGCACTATGATGCCCAGCTTTCAAGAATATGTTTTGTAAAGAGAATGCAGCTTTCCTTGTGGGTGCACAAAAAGCAAAGGCATTTTCGGCTCTTCTCACCTGATGTTCTTCTTGGGAAGGGTACTGCTGAGCACTTCCCTTGGAGTGGCTTTTCTGTAGAAGCCGGCTCTTCTGGCTTCCTTAACACCAGTCAACTCACAGATAATGATCTTAATTGCTGAACTTACAATGGCCCCTTATCCTAAGTTTTGAACTGAAGTCAGCAAGACCTGCATTTATCCTTAAGTAATTAAACTTGGAGTTGGAGAGATGGCTCAGCAGTTAAGAACACTGGCTACTCTTACAGAGGACCCAGGCTCAGTTCCCAGCCCCATATGGGAGCTAACAACCATCCATAACTCCAGTTCCAGTGGATCTGACACCCTCTTCTGGCCTTCCAGGGCATTATGCTCACGTGGTGCAC